TTGTGGGCCGGTAGAATCATTGATCCATATTAGATGCCTGAAATTCTCGGTGACATTTGGTTTCAACAAGACGGCGCCACTTCCCACACCACCAAAATCGTTTGATAACTTACCTTTCCGTAAAGTTTAAAGTCTAAGTGAACAATCCGGCTTCGMTTTAGGACTTGGAGCAAACAGCCACTTATCAGTCGAAATTCTCAAATAAGTCATCGAAATTGGACTCCATAGTTGGACCATCTGAGAGGTAGACGCGGCCAACATTTGAAAGAGACAAYCTTCAAAAAATAWATACYGAAGAATGTTCTTTCGAATGATAATCTGTAAAATGGAGATCCTAGAAATGGATCACTCTTTATATGGAGYCATAAGGGTTTGATAAGATATACTGTTATGCACAGTACTTTGGGAAGTTAGATGAAAAACTTCTATAGTTGGATATCAGAAAAGAGCAAAGAGCCCTGAACTTATTACAAAAGAAGCGTTACATTCGAGGAGGAAGTGTTGAGATGATTCTATATCATCTTCTTCTGAAACAGCTAGCACTAGGTAAGATGTTCAATCAGACTACGTTGGGTTAAAACTCCTACAACAATTTAAATGTGGACTTTGCTGAGAGCGAGGAGTTTATTAGACCCTCAAGATTTACTCTGCGCCAGAAGAACATTGCGACTGCCCCATTGTTAGTAGTTGATAACGCTTGCTGAGCAGGTCTGAGTGCCAACAAACCAGTGGTGAACCACAAGGAGCGAATGAAGTTCCTGCATGTTCTCATTACGCAATTATAGAGACTTTAATACCCGTCTTAGCAAKCTCATCAATCCAGCTCTCGAGCACCAGCATCAATCAGCTATTTCCTGCAATACCGCCGTGTTCAGGCACCCTAACCAGTTTTATTATGTAGTCACTCTATGCGCACAGTCAAAGAGCTTAAGATGATTCTATGTTGATTAAAATAACCGCTTTAAACCATTTTAAGGGGGTTTCTAGACATGTGATTTTCGAGACGAAATCAAACGCWTATTATGTAATGTTATGCCCTCCAATTTATTTTATTATAGGCTCACTACGCTAGATAATGCGATTACCAAAACTTTCCTTTAATAAACTGATTAATTCGTTGGCTGTATGACATGTAGCGCTATTTTATTGGATCCRATGGTCGTCCACATCARCATCCTTTAATTTAGGCACGAAAATTTGGTGTATTAATGTATCCTATYAAACAAAAATGAGCTTTACAAGATATTCTTGCGGAAACGGGGATCGCTGGCCATCTCCTTTTGGGYCCACTCACCGACCGTGCGACGCCATGGCGGATGAACTCTTTCGAGTCTTCTTCGATACTCTGCTTCATGCTCTGAARATGCTAGAATAAACGCAATCTTTGATAGTAACTTGGAACTTGATTTTCCGAATATTCTACAGGATCATTACATTATATTATACAGCGATCATCAAGTATTTTGGAGAAGCCGAATGAAAAATTTTATTGACGTTAGTGGTTTTCTTGATTTTAATTAAAGYTCAAATATTCACTACTGGATTGTAGAAGTCTSGTGATTGTGATGACCCATTCGAAGTAACTCTATGGTTTTCTTATTTCCTTTGAGAATAGAGTCTATCCCTATGTTTCGGATTCTTGCAGTATCAAAGTATCAAATCATGGTTTGTTTGCCGCAAAACAGCTGACTTTATACAAGTTTATCATATTAATCTCTTCCTCTTCAACTGCATCTTTGAAAACTAAAGGGGCCTTTTCTCTGCTCACATATCGATGACGGATATGTGGATGGGGAGAAGTCGCTGGAGAAGAAGCACAGTGAGCTTTTTCTCAAATGGATCGAATCTAGGTGAGAAGGTTTGCGGGGATCACGTTTTTCAGGCAGAAGTGGCTGCTATTATGTTGGCGGTAGAAGCACTGCTGCATAGTCATCCCTATTAAAGGAGTTGAGGATTTACTCCGGCTGCAGGGCGGCAATAATGTGTGGTCAAAGCTAGTCAAAGAGTGTATGCCCTCACTAGAAATAGCGTTAACAGAACTTCATCCTCATACACTTTTTCTTCTATTGTTCAGCGTTTGGTAAATTGACGTTGGAACATCTCTGTAGTCTTSTCACAGGGGCCGATGGATAACCGGTTGAGCTGTATAAAGCAGGAGAAGAGCCTTGACAAACAGATGGACACCCATCATCTTTTTGTCGATTTCTATCAGTTTCAGGAGGAACCCCTCCGAGCTTTTCGATACCAAATGAGGTTTTAGACAGCTGATGCTCTCTCTTTTTTTAAATATAATGCTAAATAAAAATGCTAATATAAAAAGTGACACGTGTCGCGAATTTGAATCGCAGAGGCTCGTCTTGTCGTGAATGAGGGTAAGACAAAGAACCTGGAGGCCATATACAATGATTGTTTACGTTGCTGTTGGCAGCTATAAATTTGAAAAAGTTAGAGACTTTGTAAATCTCGGAACCAGCATAAATTCTACCATTAATCTTAGCCTGGAGATTAAGCGTGGAATAACTCTTACCAACTGGTGCTACTTTGGAATGGTTAGACAATTAAGAAGCATGTCCCTTTCTTGTCGAACAAAAAATTACACTCAATAAATCTTACATTATTCCCGTCCTCTAATACGGCGTAAAAACATGGAAGATGATAACCCGAGTTGAGAAAGCACTTGGAACGTTCYAGGTAACTGTTCTTCGCAARATTTTTGGAAYSGTCCGCGCGAGCGATTTGTATCCTAAAAAATGGARCAATGAAGTGCATGAGCTARACGGCGGYATGTATATACATACATATGTTTAAGCKCATAAATGTTCAACGAATGCGCTGGCAAGCCCATGTCGTTCGAATGGAACATGATGCTCCAATGAAAAGCTCCTTGGACTAGGGACCCTTAGACCAAGTTTTTTTTTTCAAATTTCTTTAAGTAGGAAGAAGCTTCAAAAGGTAGAGCGCGGAACTTCATCCGCTAAACCTACCCTAYTCCCAACTCCAGACTCTCYCACAGATCTACCTGATTAAGTATTACGTCGTGGAAGTTATAAAACATTTAAGTCTACTCTATGGCATGGACTGTCAGTCACCTAATCTGGTCTATATGTCTCAGTTTTGTCACGATTCAGACTGCCGGTACGCTTATAGATTTTCAGTTCTCAGGCATTGACATATGAGTGTCGTTTCCACCATAAGACTACCACCGAGTCTAGTTTTAAGTTTTCCCCTTGTACCTAAAAAGTGAGGGCAATAGAATAATACAAGCTCAGAGTCTTCAAAGCAGTCTGAACATGTCGGACCATTCGGAATTATGTCGGGCTGGAATTTATACAGGTAGTTTCTAAAGTACCCATTTACACTTAGTATTCGGGGTATACAGAAATCCAGGTCACCATGTCGTGTGTCTATAAACGAAAGTATGTCCAATATCTCCTCTCTATTGAATGCTTTAATGCTTAGCGCCTGCAYCCATATTGGAGCCGCATACATACGTCTAATACAACCGATCTCATTATTTTGAGAGTAAAAATTGGMAGCTGGAACGTACGCAGACTTTATTTGCCATAATTTCTTCATAAGGATTTAAGATTTTATTCGCTTTACTTGCAGTATATTCTAAGTGATCCTTAAATTTGAGCTTTGAGTCTATTACTAGTCTCCTATATATTATACTTTCAATGAATCTCACACTCCCCTATGGTGAGAGATATACTTTCCTCCAATTTTCTAGCACTTATGAGCAAGACTTCTGTCTTTTGGTGTTTGCCCACTTTGTTGAGTTGAAAACATTCTTCACATCCTGAGTGATCAACGCGCAATATTTATTTGTTCCGACTTTCCATCATTTCACTTACTGCGCATTTCGCAGGGTCAACTAGTRCATTGTTTAGTGCGTAAATGGTGGACTTCCTTTTCATAC